TGTTTTGAATTTAAAAGAATACATATACACATTCACAGAGAATTTAACTCCCTGAAGATGGTCACAGACGACATTGAAAATACTTGGGAAAATAAAAACTATCTGAAAGGAAATTTTGGCATTTTTCTTAATCAATTCTCTAAGGCTACCAAGAAATTAATCCGTGAACTTGAAAAGATCACAACCAAAATAAATCGAAATGATATGTCTAAATTATTCAACCAAACCTGTTTGAATGAAAATATGCTGCCTAAATACACACACACACATATATATATATATATATATATATATATATATATATACAATAAGATAAAGAACAAATAGGAAATGCTTATCAATTTTACATGTTTCATTTTTATTAAAGCTTCGTCAGAGAATGACATGGACAAAAAGAAGAAAGAAATTCTGATACTTTTACTTTTGTGTTGTTTTATTTTCATTATTTAATCATGTTTCAAGTGCATTTGATATATTAAACAAACATTAGTAGAATTTATGGTGTTCCAAATTCAAGGAAAGATGACGCGTCCCTTTAAAGTTCGAAGAAATTAACGGATTCCAGGCCTAACTGAAAAGAACATAAACAGTGCTTTATGTATGTAAGTGTATAAATAATTTTAGCTTGTCTCTGTGGGATATAGATGATAATATTATATTCATAAGTGTTTAACACATCAAATGCACATGAAACCTGATTAGCTAATGAAAATCAAACATTTATATATCTATATCTATCTAACTACTCTATATATATATATATATATAATAATATTAGTGGTAAATATACATACATATGCAAAATATATAAATACCCATACATGTATATTTTTAGAATAAAAATTCCAAGAGGAAGAATCCAGGTAGAACTCAATGTCCAGGACAGAGTAAGGTATAATTAAATATATAATTAAAAAGGCTTAAACACTAATATTCCATGGTCATAATTTATTCCATTGGAATTATGTATATATATATATATATATATATATATATATTAGGTTCTTTTGGGGAATATATTGTTTGTTTGTGTGTGTGGGTCTTGATGGCCACAGAAATAAATATTTATGATTAAATTTTGGTTACAAATAAAAATAATGCTAAAATATAAAAACCTATATTTAAATACTGATGTATCATCAGTTGACAATTTTTACCCAAATAACCTTTGCTAAATTACAGTCATGTATTACACACCAGTGTATATATTAGACAGGAATTATATATATATATATATATATATATATATATATATATATATATATATATACATAAATGCATACAAACATGTGTGTGTATGTTTGTTTGTGTGTGTATTAGTATAAGATACAATGTGCCTAACATTCAAGGGCTTTTGGCAATTCATTTACCCATTTTCAAGATCCAGGACTTTAATGTTATGGACAAAAACTCTAATTATAAATGTTAGTTATTTCTTTTTGTAAAACTTTATATATACATACATATATATATATATATATATATATATATATATATATATATATATATATATATATATATTTATGTGTAGTTATGCTTACATATATATATATATATATATATACAAATATAATGGAACATGAAAGATTAAGTAAAAAAATTTTAAATATTCCTTGTCTGTGGCCTTTAATCAAACTTGTATTAAACATGAATTACTGCTTACATATGCATATACACACATGTACATATATATATATATATATGTATATATATATATGTGTGTGTGTGTGTCTATATCTATATGTATGTATATATTTAGTTGTTTTTCTGTTTGTGTGTGCATATGTAAACTTATAAACATATACAAGGTGGTGCTGGAAAAAGTTCTTCACCAGCTCAGCACTCTTTCACAAAATTTGACAAAATTAACAAACATCAATTTTTTTTTTTACAGAATGCTGGTTGGGAGGGGGGGGTCTTTCTTTTTATCCCCCCTAACATCTATATGGAGACTTTCTTTATACATTTGATTTGGATTGTGTATCTGCTTATAAACAAACTGGAAATATGCAACACAATCATTAAATATACGGAGCCTGTCAGTCAAATTTATTAAAACATGTTTGAATGAATTCTTGTTGCTGAATTACACAATATAGGCTAATGATTCAAAAAGCATTTCATATCAAAATATTTATTTTTAAAATAATAATCCCCTTCCTTGTCAATGCACTTAATTCAGTGGTGAATATTATTCATATTGACTGAACATTATGCTATGAAAATTTCAGGTAAAGATTCCTATTTTACACATGTTGTTCTTCAAACGAGGTTCTTCAGACTAATAATGTTTTCGGATAGACTAATAATAATGTTTTCATGGATAGACTAATAATAATGTTTTCATGGATAGACTAATAATAATGTTTTCATGGATAGACTAATAATAATGTTTTCAGGGATAGACTAATAATAATGTTTTCGGATAGACTAATAATAATGTTTTCATGGATAGACTAATAATAATGTTTTCATGGATAGACTAATAATAATGTTTTCGGATAGACTAATAATAATGTTTTCGGATAGACTAATAATAATGTTTTCATGGATAGACTAAATGTTTTCGGATAGACTAATAATAATGTTTTCATGGATAGACTAATAATGTTTTTATCAATATGATATGTAGGCGGAGGGAAAAAAAACTACAATACAATTCCATATCGAGAAACTCCAAAGATTAAGATTTAAAATTTTTGGCAGCTGATGTATAATTTAACCAATCTCATTCAGCTTTTGTACTTCTTTTGTTTTTATTTTTATCATCTTTAAATATCACACATTGTAATGGCATTAGTTTTGTTAGGAAATGAGATATTGTATGATCGTGGCTATGAAAGATTCGAAAGTTAGTGTACTTTCAACACATTTACAACTTAAGTTACTTTTCCCTTTCTTTAATTTTCTTTTTTTCCATTTTTATCATTCAGTTACTCACTATTAAAGAAATAGGGAGAAAGTGTAAGGATAGAAGAAAATAATGAAGAAGAGAAATAACTACGACATTTGACACATAAGCACATATTCACACGTACGCACACACACACACACAGTGAGAAAATCAATCTCTAACACTAATAACTAGCTCATAAATTAATTTTTAACTTAGTATAAAAATGACCAAAATGAGAAAATCTCCAGTCAAGTATTAAAACCTAGTCTTGACTAGTGGATCATACGATTACAAAAAGGTATGTCTACAAAACTTTATCTTAGTAAAGTTTACCTAAACTTTCACAGTTAAACCTTAAATATTTTCAAGTGTTCTTAAATTTAAAAATTTTGAAAACCTAATGATATTTTTACTACTATTTATAAATATTTGTTGCAAAATAAAATCCTTATATTTACGTTCATAAAGTCCATCAGTGGACGAAACGCGTCAGTAAAGAAAAGATTTCCTTATTGTCTCTTTACAAATATATTTTTGTCTATATCTGAATTTTTATACACACAGGTTTCGTTTATATATAATATGTGTGTGTGTGTGTATGTGTGCTTGTGGAGAAATATAGCTAATGAATACATAGATATGAAGAAAAGAACATAGATAGATAGATAGATAGATAGATAGATAGATAGATAGATAGATAGATATGATAGATAGATAGATAGATAGATAGATAGATAGATAGATAGATAGATATAGATAGATAGATAGATGAACAGATGAGATAGATAGATAGATAGATAGATATGAACAGATAGATAGATAGATAAATAGATAGATATGAACAGACTGAGATAGATAGATAGATAGATAGATAGATAGATATGAACAGTCAGATAGATAGATAGATAGATATGAACAGTCAGACAGATAGATAGATAGATAGATAGATAGATAGATAGATATGAACAGACTGAGATATGATGAAATTGTCATAGATTACTTTTCATTAAAAAAAGTAATATGCACCAATTTGTCTAATTATATTACCCTTTTTTATATTACTTGTAGTTTATATTTTCAACTCATGTATAAATTTATAACTTGAATAACTACCACCAATGATATACTTAAAATTCAATCCTTGAGGTTAACTAAATTTGCCATTAAAGAAATGGTTTGGTATTTCTACTAAAAATCAAAAATATTTACGACTATAATTCTTGCTTATATGCCATTAAGCTTTGTCATTAGTAACTTTGTTCAGTAAATATCTGATGGCAAAGGAAGACTTTTTTTATTCTGTTGTTGAACAGAAGAAATAATTAAGCAGATCGTAGTGTTAAAAAAAAAAAGATCTTCATGAAACGAGCAACCAGGCCCTGGGGCGAACGACTTCACCCCAACAAAAAATATGAATAAAATATAAATAAATAAAAATCCTGAAGTCATTCTTACATTTCTTTGCTTCCTTCTTTTTTATCGAAATGTGTGAGTATAAATTAAAACAACGGATTCTTTCTTCATCTTGTCTCTGTCATATCTGTCTTTAGAAAGATCTTCAATGATTTTTAGTAGTTTTGTCATTGATGGGGTTTTAAAAGTTTACAATTTTACACTTTGTAAGATTCTCATGTACCAGTACCAAATACCAAAACATCAGGCTATAGACTTATTAAGCCAACGTGATTTGGGAAATTTACTAGAATTACCAGTCATTGTTTTTTTTAATTTTTGACTTCATTTTATTTTTTTGCAGTCAAGAAATCACATTTTACTGAGAATTAAAATGATTTTAAAAGCAATAACAGGAAATTGTTTACAGAAATGATACAATAAAATCCTTAAATTTATGGGTAAATACACAAAAACGAATTCCTATATTTCAAATTATTGCAAAGCTTATAAAATATGACATCTTTTTGTTTAGAATATCTTTAAATGATACCTCACATGGATTATATATAAATATAAATATATATGTGTATATGTTGACAATATAATGCATGAGTATATCTACCTATATATATATATATATATATATATATATATATATATATATATATATATATGTCTTACACTAGCTAGTTACAAGCTATCTATCTATCTATCTATCTAGATAGATAGATAGATAGATAGATAGATAAAATCTATGAATAGACTGTGATAGATAGATAGATAGATAGATAGATAGATAGATAGATAGATAGATAGATAGATAGATAAAATCTATGAATAGACTGTGATATTTATAGAAGATAGATAGATAGATAGATAGATAGATAGATAGATAGATAGATAGATAAAATCTATGAATAAACTGTGATAGATAGATAGATAGATAGATAGATAGATAGATAGATAGATAGATAGATAGATAGATAGATAGATCTTGATTTAATGATCAACCCAGGGTGGGTCATTCAGTATCAAGGTCAGTTTTATTCCATTTGTGTTTATAAGCATTTACTTGGTTTGGTGATAGATAAATATTAGTTGTTTATATTTGAATCTATAACCATTTACTTTGCTCAGGAACAGTTGTTTATATTTAAGGCTATAAGCATTTACTTTGTTCAGAGATAAGTAAATACTAGTTGTTCACATCTGAAGCTATCTCCATTTGTTGGTTCATTTTATTTGAGTCTGTATACATTTACTTGAAAAGTAACCATCTTTCTTTTTAGAGGGATTACTCCTCTGTGATAGACGCAAGACTTCCTAAACTATTTACAATATTGGTGCAACACAATCTTCATATGACCTATATACACCCATTTCACTTATTACTTAACTGTGTTGGCCTCATGCAAAAATTTATTATGGTTCTTACATTACAAATGAACACAATAATTTTATAAGTTATAATTAAAAGCTAAAATAAATAATAAAAAGTTAAAAGATAAAATAGTAAAATTTTGAGAGAAAATAATGAACATAATCAAGATGTTGACCCTCATCACTACTTTAAATAAAAGGTTAGAAAGGAAACTCCCATCAATATTAGAAAGAGCAATAACAGTGGACTTGAGAAATTAATTTTTCTAAAAAATTATTTTAATAGAAAGACTTTATAAATTTTAACTAAAGTAGTATTGGCAGCTCAGCCAATGAATGGTGAATGTTCCCATATAAGGAAATGGCTAATATTATAATTAACATGACCAAATGTTTTTATATATATAACTTATATATATATATATAAATATATATATATATATATATATATATATATATATATATATATATATATATATATATATATCCTGTCAAAGAACGAATATTTTCTATGAAAATTTCTCGGACATTCAGGCCGGTAAATGTTATTTAATACTGTTTATCATAAACAGAGCATTTGCTTAAATACTTGTATCTATAAATAACAACGTTAAACATAAAAAAAAATCTTTAATAAATAAATTGTCGGACCTTGTCCATTTCTTAACATATGACGTCATTTGTTTACATTCGATACGCCAGAGCAGTTATGAATGTACGAGATTCATGGAAGATTGAAGTTTATAAACAGTAAATTCGACCTTGTCTACCGTAAGGTTCTTTGTGGCCGAGACGGTTAAGGCACGTCAGTATATATATATATATATATATATATATAGATAGATAGATAGATAGATAGATAGATTTTAATTAAATAATTAAGAAAGAGACAATCTTAATGTTCCTTAACTATAATTTATTTCCCCAGAAAATATATTTTTCCTGATTTATCAGGTCACATCTCTTGTCTCTTTCTTAATTATTTAATTAATATTTGCTCTGTTGTTACAATGAGCTCTTTAGATTACATCCTCTTTTGGAATTATCCCCATAGATTACCAAACCCTTCATTACCATACTATATATATATATATATATATATATATATTAATAATATATATACTATATATATTATTATAGAAAATTATTAATTATATATATATATATATATATATATATATATATATATATATATATATATAATATAAAACAATAATAATAATATAAATAGTTATACTTGTTTGGAAAATCCTTAGGTATTTTGGTTTGTAATTGAACAAACCAATGCCCAAGGGAAAATAAGGAATAAAAAAAGAAAGAACTAATACCATGAAATTGAGGCAAAAAACAATCATCCAGAATCCAAGCTCAGAGTCCAAAAAAAACCCTCCAAAACGAGTAAAGCAAAAGTAACTACATAAAGTGCTCAATATGCTAAGTAGACCAAACCTAAATATGAACCTAAAGAGCCAGGTAAACCTACCTAGGTTTCACCTATATGGATTGTCAGGGTCAATATATATATATATATATATATATATATATATATATACTTGTACTATGTAAAGTTATATAATAATAGTTAATAAAAATTGATTAAAAGTTAACAAAAAGTCAATAAAATTAGTAAGTTATACAGTAATATATATTATATAATTAATAATTTTATATAATAATATATACCACTTTTGCCTTTCATCCCCATGGCTGATGCTAACCTCCAAAAGAGTGACTCAAAGCACCTTCTCAGGCTAACTTTTTCTTCTGACATGAAAGATTATATTGAATCAATTCCTAGGTCATTTTTACAGTTGAAATGGCTAGATGTAATTGCAAATTTTGTGCTCACAGTTTCTTCTCTCACACTCCATGCTTTCCAACTAACTTTGATATTCAATATCTGTCTATATTTCTGAGATGAGGTATTATGTACACTATTTACATTGTTTGGACTATCATCCTCATCTTTGTAGCCATATTTATCACAACGCTTCAGCCATTATACACTCCGGCCTTCTTCAGGTGGTTGGAATGTCAAACTGAACCCTTTATTTCACTCACCATGTAATGCGCCATGTCTAATGGATGTCAGTTATCAGGTATCGCCTGTTAATTCCCCTCTCCAAGTTTTCCACTGCCTTAACCAGGTATTGAACTCATACTCCTTGGTTCCTGTCACTGCCTTTATCCACGGTGCAAAATTTAAATGCAATGTCAATTATTATCTACTTCCCTCTTCATTCCTCTTCTTTTATTGTTTCCCCTTTTTAATAATGTTTTTCTTTTTCTTATTCTTTCACACTCAATCCCTTTTGTCTTAGTGCCTTTATTGCCTTGCTTATATATATTATATGCATTAAAAAGTTGTGTAATTATATATAATAAAAAGTTATCAAAAGTTTATATGCAGAAAAAACAGCATTTTTTTTTCAACTTTAGAGTCTCTTTAAATCATATTTGACAAAATATGGATGAAAGTTTGCAGTTTCGAAATTTTTTCACAGAATTTACTTGTTTACAGTGCATAAGAATTGATTAATTTACAATATACAAAAATATAGTTCCCCTCCCCAAATGTTCTTTTCATTTTCTATATAGCGATCCCTTCAGGACATGGACAGACATGGCCCTCTGCAAAATAAATCCATCTCTTCTCCCTACAGCTATGGATTAAATAGCCTTTGTTAGAAATGCATCTAGGAAAAGGAAAACTCTGTGAATTTAAAACTAGCTTGAAGAGAGATGATGCTATATTACCATAGACACACCCATTTCAGCTATGACTGCAGTACATGTGGTACACCTATGATCCTCATGAGGTATAGGTTTTGTGATGATGATTGTGATAATACTATGTATTAACACAAGTTTTGTTAAAGACAACAGACTGTGACTATTATAATTTTTAATTCTATACCCAAGTGTATATATATATATATATATATAAATATATTGCAGAATTTTAGTTATTATGTTTAATTTTTTATGAAAATAATGGTAGAATTTTATTTATCTGTTTGTTAAAATTGAGATTCAAAATTGATGAGATATATTTAATATTGGCAATCATCAGTTTTCTCCTCAAAACTTTTAAGAATGTTTTCAATATTTTATTTTACATAATCATGATAATAACAATAATAATAATAATAATCTAATTTTCTAATAATATTTATTTAAAAAATGCTAAAAAGAAATGTAATTTTCTTCATATAGATTCTCATAATATGCTACCAATTTATCTTACCTGGTTTTAAACATTTTGAGAAACAATTTTGCATATTTTCAAGCCATTTTTATACACACATACACACACACACACATATATATATATATATATATATATATATATATATACAAAACTGCTTTTCTATCAGACAATTCTAAGGCACAAAAGATGCCAGTTGATTCCTAAAATATGCTTGAGGGTAATCAATGTTTAATTAATAACTAAACATAGATATCTTCATGCATCCCTACTTACATGCATGCCCACACACACACACACACACAAACACACGCACACACACACACACACACACATATATATATATATATATATATATATATATGCTATTATGCTATTTAAAATTTAATGCTTGTCAGACAAATGATTCAATTATTTTTAACTTGGATCAGCAAATACAGAAATACAGACAATATAAATTAATTTCTTCTAAATTAATTAACAAAATAATTATTAAATATATATTATTTTTAAGTAATACACACACACACACACACACATACACACACACACACACACACACACACATATATATATATATGTATATATATATATAGACCACAATCAATAGAGAATCATATGGAATAAACATGTTTGCCAAAGTTGAGTTCTGGAAAAAGCTTGCTAACCTTTGAAAATAACCAAGAAATATCCTTACTGAAAAGATAGAAAAAGAAAAATGAAACTGTGGAAACAAAGATACTCCATAATATCTACATTGTTATGTCTGATAACCTTCCAAAAGCAATTTACTTATATCAGATGGTGTTCAGAATTTGACTCTTTGAAAAATTCTTCTAAATTTAATCAAAATGTTTTAAAAGGTGGTCAATCTCCAATGCTGGATTAGATTATAGAATGAACTGAATGGATAAAGAGGCAGTTTTAAGAGACAGAATATTGAAGGTTAACATTCTTTCGTATTTTAAATATTTTTTAAATGTTTCCCTTTTTAAGGAGAGGGGGCTAATTCTATTTCTAAAATTTTCTCTTTTTTTTTGTAGATGCAAGCAAGAATGACAATTTTATTATATGTCTATCTCCTCTTCTTATTTATCTTTTCACTCAATATTTGTAAAATACTCTCTTGGTGTGTATGCATGTTATTCTGGTGATAAGATTAAAACTTAACTACACTAAATGAATCAGCCAATTGCTGAATCCAGTTTTCAAAATGAAAGAGGAATTATGATAACAAAACTATCTCCAAAACAGGAGAGTTCCAGAGTCTCCAGCTCAACTCAAAATTCTTTTTACAATGAAAAAATTAGCAATAGCAAAGATGAAGATAATGAAAATACACTTAGTACTTTTTCTCTTGTTGGCATTTCTGCTATTCCATACATTTGTAAAACTTTCATTTATA